ATGTTAGTTTCCTAAGTGGATATAGTAAAATTAGTTCTAGGATCAACTTAGTTAAAAGAAAGGCAGTTGAGAGAAAGGCAATTGTCAGAAATTAAACACTTGAAGGATATACAGAGGAAACAACTATTGCGCCTCAAAAGAAAACTCCGGTCTCTGAGGCTAAAAGAGAACATGTGTGGTAAGTTATCATCTGCTTCCAGTTGTGATGACAAAAGACAGGAGTATGTTCGCGATCTCGTAAGCCATTCTCAACATGGCATCATAAATAAATCTCCAGAAAAGTCAAAACCGTTTGACCATCTGGAAATAAGGAAGAGTGAGGTGACCGTGTCATATCTTAGTGTGGGTCTTAAGCTTACGAAGGTAGAACGAAGTAGTTTTGATAGTCAACTAGTAAAATACTGGAAATCTATCAGACAGTTCGAGTTGAATGTTGTACCCAAGGTTGAAGATGATGATGGCTCTTTTTCTTGTTACACCATTTCAAAGGAAAGGCTCGAGAGGCCATAGAGGAATGCATCATGCTCCCACCATTTTCGGGTCACCTTAGAGCATGCAATATGCGAAAACGGTTGTTTGGTAGAACACACGAAGTAAGCCGGGCTTTGCTGAAAGATTTGACTGAAGGTTCCAATATAGAACAAAATGATGAGAAAAGTCTTTGTAGGTTAGTAGTAAAAATGAAAAATTGTTCTCCAGCCTTAGAACAAATGGATTACTAAGACGATCTCAACTCTGTAGGAAATACAGAAGGTATAGTAAAGAAGTTGTCCACGGCGTTATGGATGAAACGACCGGAAAAGTAACAGCAAATATGAGAGATCCTACATTTGCAGAGTTAACGGATTTTTTATCGTCTAGAGCAGAAATATTACTCAGCAGATTCAGGCAAATTGCAACAACTTGAAACCTGCTGTGAGCAAGGTAGCCCGTTCCACACAAGAGTTGTCGTTCGGTAAAACCGTTAGCAAGTCACTTTGTGTTATATGTGGAGAAAGTCACGTGATTGATGAACGTTCCCAATTCTTCACTTTAACAGTCAGCGATGAGTAAGAGAAAGCTAAAGGAAAGGGCCTGTTTTTTGTTGTCTCAGACGGGGCCACAGATCAGTTCATTGTAAAGATCGTACTGTGTGTACTATCGAGAGTTGTCGAAATCGGCATCACCCAGTGTTGCATAAACTCAGTAAAGTTCAGAGCGCTTCGGATGAGCGAGTGGAAGAAAGTCGTTATGGATAAACAGAGTCACTACTGGAGGTCTAATTTCTGCACACATTAGAGCTAGAGATAAAGAAGTTTGTGTATGTGCCTTTCTAGAAAATATCTCAGATACAACCCTAATCAATTCATGTAGCGTACGACGTTCAGGTTGATCGTCAAAGAGTTTATCAACTACCATCAAAACAGTGAACGGAAATAAGTTGATAAGATAGACAATCAAAGTCTTTGAAGCCTACTCATAAACGGAAGCGAATGTGTACTTATTGAACATGCTGTTATGGTAGATGAGTTGCCAGTGCATAGATTAATATAACCTGTGAAGGACAGTGCTAAGAAATAGTTCCATCTTATTGATTTGGCTTGGCCACAGTTAGTAGGTGGCGGTGTTATGTTGCTTATTGACGTGCCTGAAGTGAATTGGGTCCTGGACCAAAGGTTAGGTGGAAGGAAGAGTGCTTATGCCATTAAGACACTGCTAGTATCGGCACTATTCGCACTAGCAGGTCACAACAAACATAAAAAAGGGATTGTAAATTATATTTCTCAAACTGATGACCCCGTGGAGCAGTTAAACAACACGTATAACTATGAGTTTGCTGACCTCCATTCCTCTAATGAATCGTTACCCCTGAGTGATTCAAAAGCAAGTAGCATTGTAGAACGCGACACTTATCTTGAAGAAAGTCACAAAAGTGTTCATTTACCTAGATAAATGGCTGAGGAAGACGTTGCTGCCCTTGTTATCGACTGTGAGTCCTGTATTTGTGGAGCTGGCTTCGCCGGATATGACGCTATCAAAGCCATATTCTCGTCAAATGTCGGGAATACCTGAACATCAGGGAGTGATGGTGGGAATGGGTCAAAGAGACAATTATGTGGGAGACGAGTCTCAGTCGAAACGTGGTATGCTGAGACTGAAATATCAAATTGAACATGGTATTACAACTAAGTGGGATGATAGAAAAGACATGGTGCATGTTACAGTTTCAAAATGTTTGGTTTAATTATTAATACTCGCATAATGGAAATATATGTCAAAACTATTAATGAGTTAAACAAAGCAGGGTTATTATAATTAATATTTTTTTCATGTAAACATATTCGAATAAGTCACAGAAAGATGAGCAGTAATAATCGTTAGATAATAGCTTAGCTGATGGTCAGTACAAGCAATATGTGTTTGAAAATATTAAGACGATCGATGTTGTGTCGACCTTGATATCGGTATTACCTTTGGCTTAAATTAGGAAGTCAGTTGACGCTTATGCCGGTATACTCTCCGTATAAGTTGATTTCCGATTGCATTTGCATTAGTAGGCCTATTAAAGGAACAAAAGTATGACCATGAGAAGAAGAATTCCAACCAATGTTCCAGTTAGTTTGTTAAGTTTAATACGGTTTATTTAGTTCCAGAGACACTTTTCCGACTTCATTATTGTCTAATCGTGATAGGATGTAATAAAACTACCAGTACATATGAATGGTTATCGAATATTCTTTCAATACTATTCCTCCAAAATGGCTCAGGTTCAATAGGCATGAACATTGTTTGCTCTCCTTCTCGTCTTTCCTTTTTTAATCTCCCTTTCAGCTCTCTTGGGACATGCCTCTCAAAACACAATACGAAACGAGTGACTTTGTAGTGGCATTGGACAATAGCCACACAATCCACAAAGCTGTGAACACGAGACTACTGAGATATATATATTCAATATTTAACGCGGAGAAATACCTAACAATGGGGAAGGCGCGAACAAGGAATTGAATGGACTGGAGTTGATCGAGTGGCATGGCTCGGCCATGCAGGCGTGGTATCTGCTGAATGTTACCTTATATCTTCTATTCATATTAAATATATTGTTCCTTCTCTAGCCTAACCTTGTTCTACATAATGTACTGGTAATTGACCCGATACAGTGAGTTGATGTAGTCGATGGTGTGACTTCCACGTAAGATCTTATAGATTAGGCAGTTATGTCATGACAAATCTACAATTTTAGGATTAGGTCTATTAGTAGAGCAGTACTAATAACATAGTAGACCATAGTTCTACAACTTCACCCTGTGCCATCATTAATGCTTCAGATGTTCCAGAGGAATAATAATAATAATTTATTCGCAAATAACAGTTTGATACATGAGGCATGCCAGTTTACAGGCAAGATCAAATTGATACAAATGATACAATATCCGCTGTAGTAAATTACATAGCTGGGTTGATAATTTATAAGATATGAATGTAGATGGTTTCAATCAGTACCACAGTTGGCGCGCTTCATGAAAGTTGCGTTGCGAATGTGCAACTGATGGTCAAGGATAGGTCCATTGAAGGTGGGAGCTTCTAAATGTCGCAACCTTTTGTCCATTTGGAATGTCTAAGGCTTTGAGGATGGCACAGGATGAAATCTGTTGTTCCATATCACAAGGGGGCTGAAAGAGGGAGCAAGTAAAAGAAAGGACGAGAGGCAGAGCAGCCAATATTCATGAAGAAATGTTTAAGGTATGATTACTCAGTCTAATTTCCTTTTATTAAGGTATTTGTTATAAAAAAAGAGCATTTTGATAGGTTAAAGAAAATAAGTGTTAACCAGGTGTGAGTGGACATACAACTGACAAATGGAGGCGATTTGGAAAGGAGCTGAGAGTATGGGATTATGTGTGGTTATAAAATAAAATATGGTGCTAGAAACACTATTGTGATATACAATCGGCTATCTTTTTTATCGGAGCAATTAGAGCCCTTTTCATTTTTTTTGTATTATTACTTTTTTTCAGGTATCATAGGGTCTTGAGTAGGCTTCGTATATTAGCGAATTGTCTAGTTTGCTTGTAGTAGGATTTCTGGGTAGGAAGTGAAACCAATTCAACGATTTAAGGAGGTAAATCAGCATCAATACCATAAGTTCGTGACATCCCACTAAACCATAAGGAGCTGTAATTAAACAAATTGTTCTGCCCTACAGACATGGGTGGATTGAAATTATTTCCGCACCATCATTTTTGCTGGTCAGTAATGTCACCCTCCCTCCTTTTGTGATGTTAGACTCTCTTACGCTTGTGGTAAGTATGAATACTGCTTTAATCAAAGCCCATGGTTGGAATACACTGTCTCTACCAGGTCCATGTTACAAGCAAATCAGATAGTTGAAAAGTCTGTTTTATGGGTTAGATATCCACATAGTATATCACACTGCTATAAAAATAACTAATGGTTTGAAGAAGTAAGAACTTATAACAAACCAAAAGATATGAGAGGGTATAAAATTGTAGAAAAAAGATTTCAGGGTAAGACAAATAAAACATTGAGAAACTCACAAGACTTTGTGGCCAAATTTTGAGCTTTGTAAGATCGGCCTTAGTAGACCAGCATCCATAAGATTGAGCTATCTGTCTACTTGCAGTAGAAAAAAAAGCATGACTTTTAGGAAGAATAATGTACATTTAACCTGTAGAGATCTGGGAACTGAAAGCTAGGGTTAGGAGCATAAGGTCATGATTAATAAACAATGAATAATAGGAAAGGATAAGCCATATATTCTTTGGTTTGGTTATATTCGTATTAGTAACAGTCGAACTTGTTATAATCTTGTTCTTTCTAGATACTGGCCGGTCCGTAATAAATCGCCTCATTGGTGGGTGGGAGTTCAAGGAAATGTTGAAGCTCTTTGGGGTCTAGAAATAGGGTTATTAGCTTTTTGAATCTGGTAAACGTATCACAGTTGCGGATAGGCATTGGCAACCTGTTCCACAATAAGCTATACCGTACTGTAAAAAACTTACAACGCATTTGTTTTTGGTGTTTTACGGTAAGTAGTGTATATGCGTTGTTTCTAAGTTTATAGGCTGGGTTGTGGGTGATAGCCGGGCAGGAGGTTAGAAAGGAGAGCCCATATATCGCTTTGTAGAGAAATATTAAATTGTTATTTAACCTACGGTGCCATAAAGGTTCTAAAGATAGATGCTTACATCTATCTGTGTAATGGAGATTTGAGTTACATCCTAGTAGTTGACGTGTGAAACGTATTTGAACATCTTCTACTCTTATCTTGTCTGCGATATTCATATTAGATAAGACAAAAGAGCAGTATTCAAGGGAGGGTCGTACACATATTTTGTAGAGAGTAAGTTTACCCTTTGTTGTGAAAAGGTTTTTCATTATAAAGCCAATTATCCGTCTAGATTTAGAAATAATAGAGGAGGCATGTTCTTTAAAGTTCAGGCTCCCTATGTAATTAATTCCTAAATCGTGTACTGATTCGAGTGTTTGGACTCTACTTTTTTATAAACTCTAGACTTTACGTTGGTTTATTATCGACCTCCAGTTGCTCATCGCAACGCAATCTTCATAAAGCGCGCCATGCGTCATATTGACAATACGGGTCTTACTAATACTATTTACATTTATATACGAGAAGCGTTATTCACTATAATTCTATGACCAATATAAACTGAGTAACCTAATACAGTGAAAACTGTATCTTTGGTAACCACTTGATCTCACCTGTAAACTGACATGCCTCATGTAACAGACAGTTATATGAGAATAAAGTATCATTGTTAAGTGATTGTTATGTGGATTTCGGACAAACAGCTAAGAGCGATTAGTTAGACATGAGTGTTTTTGTAAGAGATATGGTCTGAGTTTACTGTTTTGATGTAAAAATAAACCGATTGTTTACATACATATTTGTCGGCTGATGGTGCATATAAGTTAGTTGCATGTATGGAGCTTGTCATAAGTCAGAAAACGACTTATTTTAAATATAGTAATTAAGAATTGTTGAAATGGACCAAGCTTATGTGCCACAAACATAGATGATGTGGTGTTGTGCGATGATTCCGTCTAAATAAATCTTTACAAGGTGATAAACAGTAAGTAATGCACATGCAATTATCAGTATCGTGACGTCTGTCTTCTCAGTGGTGTTTGTCGATAATCTGTAGATCAACAAATTCAGGACAGTTTCAACTACGTTACACAGTTCCCTATGATCAGCAGGAAAGTTGCTTTGGGAGAATATGCCGGTAATTCTATTACTAGAAGTATTAGGTTCAGACTGTTTGCGAACTATTGTTTGGTGAGTAGTCAGTCTATATTCGGCTGGGCAGTGAAAATAATGGTAGTCATAGCGATCTACCTGATTAACGACTAGTAATCCAGTGCAAGAAAAGGGTGAAGGATCGGCTACACTTCTCAGAGCATGGTTGTAATAAGTGTCGGCTTGAGACAATGACCATTCACGACGTTATTTAATAAATGTGTCCAATATCAAGTTCACTGTCATCCGCTTATATTCAGTGAAGTTAAAATGCGCAACAAGTTGAAATTGTAGGAATACAAAGATACTTCACAATAAAGATTTAAGGAATGGGTTGTGATCGGGGTTACTTCGCATTATGTGATACATTAGGGTTGGAACACGTACTGGCTCATCTGGTGGTGGTAGCACTCCTTTCCTTGTACCTACCTTTACCTATATATTTCCGTGATAACGTCGTTTGTGTTGTACGGTCATCAAGGTAGACAAAGTCCCTGGATATGACGAAAGAGTAATCCACGTCAGAGTCTAACCATGAGGCATGATTTCGATGTAAGCTGGCTGGTTTAATCCAGGTAAGCAATCAATCAGTCAACACAGCTCATCTACATTGGTGATTTACACTGGTGCGCAAGTCTTAGAATAACTCACCCTATTATTATGAACTTTATTATTGAATTTTATACTTGATCTTCGTTTCCATGGTCGCTCAATGTATACATAACTATAAACATTCGCTGTTTTATCTCACTGTTAATCGGTTTTTGAGTTCAACTAACGCCATTGATCGATAAAAATAACAAACCGACCATCATTATAATTGGATACAATGGTTTTTCAACGAGTATTATCTGCACATAAGTGCCCCTGCTAGAATGTTCTGTCATGCCATCTTAATAAAGACCTATTCACTACCAGTTCGGTTTCTTCTATCGAGAGAACGATGAGGAACCAAGCGGCACGAAAGACCTATGCACTACAATAAAGGAAAAAAGGCCAAAACTGCCAAATACAATTACACTCAAAAATGTGGAAGACCGTACAGATAATATTAGAGCTTCTAATTTCACGACCAGTTTGAGTAAGGCGTCCCTAAATTAATGTCCTCTTATTTTATATTCCGATCACTAAATTTTAGTATTCTATCCGCGGTGAAATTTAGCCTAACGGAAACATTTCTTATGACTGATCAAACTATTTTTGTTTACTGTTAAAGTTAAAACACACAGATCTATAATTGATAACTTTATATTTGAGATTAAATTTCTCTGTTCATTGTAACTCAATGGACGCTGGTGTACACCACTTTAGTCCGCCCCAAGAAATTATACATCAGTAACAAGAGTAGCCCATGATGTCGTTGAACAAACGTATAGGTATTTCAGGTGAGAAAATTTCCTTTCAGACAGAATCATTACAATAAGATGTACAATTACGTTTATAGTTAATTATCGATCAAAGAAGTTTTTTTAAAAATAGAAAGATCGTATTATATGGCGTGTCAAGCAAAAATGTCTAATGATCGAGAAATCAGCGAGAAGAAATAAGATAAGTATTCATTTGAGGAGTGTGGGACGTGTGAAGGATGCGTAGAAAACGTGGCAAAACTGATAAATACTTAGAGTTTTGAAGATTATATATATCAGATATATCGGATGGTTCCGAGTGACTAGAGCCGACAAGATGTTCAAATATTGATCTATTGGTTGTTGTACTGCCACTATCCAAACGTACCCGTTTTGTGTGGCCAGTGTAATATACTCCGAAATCTGTAAATAATATTACCATGCTTTTTTACTTCTAGGAAGATAATTATCTTCCTGATCTGCATATAACCACCACCCAATATATAACGCGTGTGTAGAGACCGAACCGCCAGTATTCGGTCTGAACGCCAAACTAACGAACCCAACTTTATTCGATTAGAATAGACCACTTTCTTCTGTATAGCGTATGAAGCATTTTGAGTTACTTGTATTAAATTATATCAGAACACAAACTCTGTTATCAGTTAAACGGTTCTAATTTAGGAAATAGAACAAATTATTTCAAAATACAAATTACCTCAAACGGTACAGCTTGTGCTATACAGTCAAAGGTTTGTCTAACACAAATTAGTGTGCTCAAAATCGTTAAAAGTATTCCCAACAAGATGGGATCAGATATCTATCTTCAGGGAAGCCAGTAATCTTTCCAAGCAAACAGTCGAAGGTTAACAGTCACACACTGAACAACGCCGTGACATTGAGCTTATTCAAACACGACCTTACTGTCAGTAGTCCGGCAACATGCAATAGAAAATTAAGTAGCAAAAGGTAAATCATCAATCAAAATCACATAATAAAGGTTCAGACGAGGAAGACTGAAGAACAAAAGTTGTGGTTAGAAGAGATCCGAACGAAGGTTAAAATACACGACAGGGAGAAGAAACAAATAAATGACAGTACTGTCCAACAAAATGCTATGGAGGGAATTTCAATACTTTCTTTCTGTTACAACATGTGCTATGGAAGTACAAGAATTCATACAAACAGTCGGCTCTCGTCTTTAGTAACAAAAATCTATCACAATGTCCACCGTCTTTCTCTATAGAACATACTATCATGGGCTTCCTGTCCCGGAAGGTAAATGTCAGGAAACGCTCAGTAGCTGATCACAGGCTACTGTGATTTACTCCAGTATTCTTTCTGTTAGTGCATCGATTTCCACATCATATGTGGAAACAGGTCTGACAAGCTTATTTTGTAAATAGTTTTTAATATTATTTGTATTTATTTTGCCAATCATTAACTGTGTGTATATTTATCATTAAATGGTTGTACTTGTTGTTTTAGTAAATGACCATGAACACACTTTCCGTTGTGATACTGACAGTGTGACACACTTGTGGTTGTTCGGAAGTACACTACTACACACACATACTCCTTGTTCTATTCTCACGCGTTATCGAGCCAATTGCATTCTAAATCGGATATTATCCACATTTTAGACTGTTGTGCCATCTCTATTACATCCTTCGTCAAGGAAACTTACTGGAGTCACATTCACCTCATCGGAGTTGTTGCTCATTTATAATTGTGAATTTTGGTACCAAAACTCAACGGAATACGCGACACCTAGCTGATTTAAGTAACGTCCCTGAACTTTTATTTTGTGTTATAAATTTATAAATTATTAGTGTTACATTAACTTTTGGACGTAATAACTTTATTGCTAATTTTTGGTTAATATACTTTGTGGTCCACCATACATATCTGTTGCTACTCCACAACTGTTTTATTTCTACACTTATTATTAAAATATTGCCATACTTTACCATGCTCTTCCTGAAACCCCTGGACAAGGCCAAACCTTTTTAAAAAACTATGATGGACGTGTCTTGCTGTGTCACTCCATCGGCACAAAAATGGCATTATTCTTACTACTTCGAGGGAGTAAAGCGAAGTATTCAACTTATGGTGAACCATCACAGTACTTATTGATCCCTGTTGGTTCATATTGGGTGAGTATATATAGATGAATGAGGAAAGCCTTGCAAGTTTGCCTCTTAGTTTGAGTTTTCTCTTGATTTTATATGGAAGCAAATAAATATCATCGACCATTGATCTAAATCAAGGTGGAAAAGCATGAGGATACCAACGAGTTTCCTTAGATTCTGGGTTAAATAGCCATTTTGACTGATACTTCATATATCTGTCTTACATGGACTTGGTAAGTTGATAATTTTGGGCTTGATCTTTAGGTTTAATTCCTGTGCTCTCATTGTTGTCTCGATTTACAGCTGATAGTAGCTTCAATATGTGGGATGTGTGATGAGTTTGTTTTTAAAATTGTGAAAACGACTCAACAGGTTTGCAATTGGGATCAATGAATTCCCATTATTGGGACCATGGACCGATCAATGTAAGACTACCACTGAAAAGTGGAAGGCACTGGACAGTTGTTTCGTTCTAGTATGTAACTCGTCAACAATGCAGATCTACGGTCTAGCGCTCGGAACTCGGTGCGAGGACCTGCAGTCTCGCACGTGAACTCTCAACCCATGAACTACGGCGCCAGTATCCACCGGTGACAATGTTGTAATCCGGTCAATGGTCGCTCCATACCGTTAGTCGAAAACTTTACTCGTTCTTATCATTGTTAGGTTTAGGGTCGTTGATTTGTCATATATGAGTAACTCACGCATCCTGCAGTCTGAAATTTTGTAAATTACGTGATTGCCTATATAAAATATCTAGATGTTTTTCCCTTTTTTGAGATCTTATTGGTTTTCAATATTATGCCCCCCTTGGTTAGTTAACTAATTCAAGCTTCTCCGTTGTCACTCTTGATTAAACGAATGCCAGTTCTTTTCACAGACAGATAGATTTTTTTAGCGCCGATATAAAGGATGACCACCACATCAAAAAATCAAACATTCCTAACAAACTAACTGTCGAAAAACAGTCGCGTTTCAACGCTTACAGCTGGAAGC